CCAAGCGCCCGGCCCTGCTGCCATTAATTATTAACGGCAATCAGAGCATTTCCTAGCAGAGCAGCCCAGCGAGTGTCGGTTACAGGAAAGCAGCCGCTCCCGCGCGGGGATCCTGCAGGCGCGGAGGCACCAAGGCCCGGGCTCCCCATGGCCGGGAGGGAGCAGGGACAGAGCGCCTGGACCGCAACGTGGAGACACCATCTCGGCTGCCCTGCAGGCACCCCGGGCCCTCGCACTGCACAGCCAGGACCCTAAATCCTGTGCGCTGCACCCCGGGACTCTGCTCCTCTGCATCGCACCCATAGGACCCTGCTCTCCTACACTGCACTGCTGGGACAACAGGTGCTGTCACAGCACCCATGGGACCCTGGTCCCCCTGCATTGCACTGCCAGGACTCTGGCCACTGTGCATTGCATCACCGGGACCCCAGCCCCTCTGTGTTACACTGTCCGGACCACAACTGCTGTGCATTGCACCGCTTGCAGCCCAGCCCAGCTGTGCTATACTACCGGACCCCAATTGCTATGCATTGCACTGCCAGGACCCCTGTCCCTTGTGCATTGCACCCATGGGATCCTGGTCCCCCTGCATTACACTGCCAGGACCCCAGCCCCTGTGCATTGCACCGCTGGGACCCCAGCCCCTGGGCACAGCCCGGGGCTGCAGCTGCGGGCAGCGAGCAGGACATGACGCTGCGCGGCCGCGCGGGCTCTGCAGGCCTTGCTGGCAGCCACCAGGCACCCCGGGAGCAGCGAGGGCTGGACAGGGCTGCGCAGTGCAGCCCCGCGGGGAGCAGAGCGCCCAGGCTGGGCCGGGACCGCACTGTGCACTGGGACCTGCAATGCACACACTGCCCCGGCTGCGTCTCTGCAACGGGGACCCCGGCTCTGACCCCACTTCACCCCATCCTGCCCCATGCCTGCCATGGGGGGGTCCTGTGCGCAGCCCCCCTGCCCAGGCCCCATCTTCCCGCTGGGGAGAAGCTGTGGGAAGCGGGTTCTGGTGGGACAGGCCTGCAGGCGGTTGGGCCAGCTGCCACCAGCTCCAGCGTCACCCGTCCCCATCCCCAGATTCCTCCTGGGTCCGGGCTGGGCAGCCACAGGGACAGCGGTTGCGCTGCGACAGCGCTGGGGCGGGATGCGGGATTGGCAGCGCCTTTCCTGCAGTCTTCCCTCATCCGGAGTTATTTTCTCATTATGGGACTCCCCTTCACGCCAGGGCTTGGCCACAAGCTGCTGCCCCGGTGCCATCGTGGTGCTGGGGACCCCGAGCGCGGGTGTGCGGCACCCCAGGGCGTCTCAGGCTGGTGCCAGCGCCCGGGCGCTGCTGGCGCGGGATGCATCCCGCTCCCTGGGGCCGGCTGAGCGGGGAGCAGGCGGGGCCCTCCCCCTGCACCAGGGGG